ATCTATTATAAGCTGCATGGACGTCATTTCCAAAGAAGAGAAAAATAAATTAGATTTACTATTTGCTAGGGCTCTCTTATCTAAAGGGCTCTCATTTAGTGTTTTTGAAGGTGAGTACATGGAAACAGCATTCCATCGAGGGGGCCACCACTCTCTCTTTGGATGTACACATGATTGCAAAGGTTGCGTGATTTCATATGATATCACGGATTTCGCATATTATTTTCACGCTAAAACCTGCCTGCAGATTATGTCTGATTTGAAGGATTACAGATGATTTCAGCGGATTTTACCGGATTTCAGCGGATTTCACAAGATCCCGGCGGATTTTACGTGATTCCGGTGGTTTTACATGACCTTCTAAGGATTTCAGACCAAAATTTGCTGGCAGATTGCGCACGATTTCATGATTGCAGGTGGATTTCAAATGATTTCGGGAGGATTACAGGGAGGGCGTACACATGATTTCAGGAGTGGCGGCCCCCTCGCACTCCATGCACTTCGACCTGCTAACAAGCTGCCATCAAGGAAGACATTTGCCGGGCCACTTTTGGATAAAGAGTATGAACGTGTAATGGAGTCAGTGAAAAGTGACATTTCCAAGGCAAAAGCATTAACAATTGAAACTGATGGATGGACTAATACTAGAACTGAGGGTATTGTAAATTTTTTTGGTTTGTACCCCTAAACCGTACTTCTACAGTGCAGTGGAGCCTGGCATTCAGAGAGAGAATGCAAATTTTATTGCTGAAAAATTACTTGCTGTGATTAATTCTGTAGGGGCAGGGAGAGTATTACTTCTAGTCACAGACAGAAGTTCCAAGCCTCTCAAATATTGAGGAGTGGTAATGGGTCTTCCATTCTCCAAATCTTCCAGGAGGTCTGGTCTAAAAGCTGCGAAGAATGGTTTCATTGGAATGTGAATCAACTTCCTGAAAACAATACACATCCAAGATTAGAACAAGAATTGCTAAGAACAAAAAATACTGAAAAATTTGAACATAAATTCTTAAATGTAGCCATTTATACGTACAGACATGAACACTTCTTTGCAAGACCACCCCATGGAACCCAAGATGGAATTGCAAAATTGATTGCTTCCGCCATGTTTCTACCTACATAAAAAAAATATATATAAATAGAATATTGAGGCCAGTTTTATTTAAACCATACTATTAAAAGTAAATGAAATAGCACCTAAATTAAATCCAACATGAGCGGTGTTTGGATAAAGAATGACCAAGTCACCGGGATGTTGCAAAACCTGTTTCATATAAATACTGTTTAAAAAGTTATGTCAACAACTAAACTTATGGCCTAGAATGGTTTGCCCAACTCCCATTGAAATTTTTCTGTACTATCTTTAAATTGTAGGTATTTCTTTTTAAACTTATGGCCTAATTCTTCTACAATAACACGGCTTGAACTAGCCCATCCTTGTGGTCTTGCTGAATACCTCTGGGTTTTAATGGCATGCATTTGTAAATCTAAATGACTCATTGGAGCTTGTAGCTCTTTTCCCTTTAAGATCGTGGTGCTGAAAAAGGAAAGCAAAAGAAAACATGAGTATATTTACAAGAAGTGTTGAAATTGATGAAAATAGTTGGCGAGCAATTAAAGCTGACCAACAAGGGTTTTTTTGGCTGAGCGATAGCGAAGCCTATTACTCCAGTGGTGATCAAAAAGTTTCGTGTCTGTCTGTCTGTGTGTGTGTGTGTCTGTCTGTTTGTCTGTAAACACGATAACTCGAGAACGGGTTGAGCTAGGTACCTGACATTTTTAGCGTAGCTTTGTAGCATAAAAAGCAAGAACTGTATTGATTTTGAGCCCTCTAGCTTAAAAATTGACCTGTCAAAAAAATCAAAAACGAAAACCCCAAAATATTATTTTTTATTTTTTTTTTACATCTTTCTAAGACGTAACTCGTCAAAGTAGAACCCTATGGGCCAAAATTTTGTCTGTTTGGCTCTATTTCTAACCGTTAAGTCGCCAGAGGGCGATTTTCACGCGAAAATGACCCCAAACCATTTAAATGTTGTTTTTCGGATATTTGATGGTCTCTGGTGGGGCAACTCGTCAAAATAAAATCATGGGGTTATAAGTTGTGTCCTTTGGAGCCGAAGGCCTATCAACGACTCTGCCTTTTGCCCGACTCGGGTGTCAGCGCCGCAGGCCTAGGTAGATGTATGCCAGGCGCGTCGCAGCGTAACAGTGTTTCGTGAGATATCGCGAAGCCTGTTACGCGAGACGTGGTCTGGCGTACATCTACCTAGTTTTATATTGTGCACTGTCAAGAGTCTGTGCTCTGAATTCTTGCAACCTTTCTTCATCAGTAAGGGTATGTGTGCCGTAGTGCATTGTCAGACGACTGTCAAATTGCTGTAACCTTTGAACAGCAACAGTCTGCAAGCCACTCAGACAAGTCTGCAGAAAATCAGAGTCAGTCGACTCTTCCTTGACCATTCTTATTGAATCGTTGAAAGATGCCTAAGAGAATCGGAAACATAAAATAGCTGTGATTGTTGCTCCAAGATACACCATGCAGCAAATAAGAGAGGTAAACGACTATCATGACTGCAGTACCTAACCTATTAATTGCTACTCACAACGAAAAAGCCGTCTTCCACCCCAACGCATTTTTTCTCTAAATCCTCGAGCCACGGAAGAAACTCCATCTCCCATTTTCTGTCTTCATTTACCTCAACACGAGCATAATTGTCAACATTTACAGGTAAATCCATTTCTATTCTTTGTTCAGTTTCTACGTAAACTGCACTCTGCGCTGACGCTGTTTGCTTGCTTGCTTTTCGCCGAATGGCCGCATGGAGCACTAGGGTAGGCTGGGTAGGTACGGTGTTGCCAGTTGCCGCCAAATGCGATGTCCTTCCTGAGGAGGGCCGACGGCCATCAGAGAGCCGCCTTGGTGGGAATCCTTCCTCTAAGATATGAATGTGTATGTGTGGGAATGTGTCCAGATGTAACATTTGTCTTTTGTTTCAGGGCTCGTGGCTCTCTATGGCCCAAGGCATGGAAGAGGATAACTTGATAAATAGAAGGATGAAGCGCTCATTGAGTACAGAATTGTGTTGAGACAGTTTCCAGTGTGGTAATTTATTCACTGCAGTGTACTGATGAGGGTTTTTTTTCAGGGAGTAATGCGATGTCCTTCCCTGAGGCTGTGAACCCATAGGGACAATGGCCATCAGAGCGCCTCCCTGGTAGGAGTCCTTCCTGTGATCTATGAATGGGTATAATCTATCGATTTGTCTGTGAACAAGTGCCGAGTATGTTCCCATGTTTTGTTGGGAATGATAGTCACGCTCTTGATCTGGCTCTAGAGAATGGCAATCTGGAACAGAGGTGAGGCTTAAAATTGGAACAATCTCTCCTGTGAAATGAATGGAATGCAATTAGTGTCTCGGATGTATGGCTTCATGTCAGTAACTCAAGTTGGTTTCATTTGCAGGAAATGGCTCTTGGCAGTGCTTGAGGAAGACCACAACTATTTTGAAGACCCTCCCCTGAGTGATACCAAGCATGGAATGTGGTCAAGTCTGTAGATTGAATCCAACATCAGGTTTTTTTTTTTTCTTTTCTTTGTACGACTGCCTAAATGGTTCATCCCTATCATTGAGAGTAGGTTGTTTAGTTCAGGAAAAAGTCTAGTGATGGTCTGAAGGTGAGTGTTTCTTTTCCCGTGAACTCCCGAAAACTCTGATTTGCTCACAATCCTAATGCCAAGTTCATTGCAGCCAGGTTCCTTCAAAACATCGGGGCAGTTCTTCAGTTGTGGGTCTCCAGCCGCAGACCATAGGCTCCCATCGTAATCCCAAATTCCACTGCGCTGTCTCTATTGAGAATGTGAGAAAAATCCATCTGAAAGGGCTACCAGGCAAGTTTTCATGCAGTTTCTTCTTAATTGTGCTGTGGTTACCTTGACCCCCTCGTTTTTAGCCCGCCCTTCTGCTTTTAAAAAAGC